CTTTTCTTTACTTTATCACAGTTGTTTGTTGTTTTTTTTAAAAACAATAAGTCTTCTAAGCTGTATAAATAATGTATAATTAAATAGAATTTATTAGCAATCAGACAAACTTCTGCCTATGACAGTTAATGATAAGATTGGGTTCTAAGTATTTGTTTTATTAATAAATTAAAGTTTAATCGGTTTGAAGCAATAGTATTAATATTAAATAATGAAGTTAAACATTAAAATTATTATAAAAGCTTCTTGCTTGATTTATGATTCAGTAATAGTAGCTAAAATATTGTTTAATATGTTCAAGTAGTAAAGAGACTAAATTCATATAAGCAAACGTATCTATATATGTTAGCAAATACTTTTGTAGTATATAGACATAAGACTTTCAATAGAGCTTAGCCAAAATAGCATAAATTAACAGGAAACATGATTTCAACCAATTACTGAATTTATCTTGACTTAATTAAATTATTAGTACCAAATAATTAATGCTAATAAATTCTGTACAATAATTATTATTATCAGTCATATCTCATATTTTATATTAAAAATTATATAATTACTATATATAGATATGAATGAGTGCTGCCAAGGGAAAAGAGCACCTCCATTTTTTTATCAATTATTAATTCAATAATTGATTAAAAAATAGATGTACCTTTTTTACTTGGCAACACTTAAATACAAGAACAACTAAAAATATTGACATACTATTAACCTCTGTAATTAGTATCATATGACAAATTAACTACAATATAATACTAATGCAAGAAACCTTGTGTAGTGTTAGTAGTGATAGAAGCAATATTAGCGATAGCAGCACTAGTAGTGCTAATGCTTCTTTTAAATTTGTAGTTCTAGTAAATTTGTTATTTAAAAAAATAGTACTATTTCCAGAAATCAAAGGATCAAACATATAAATAGACATAGATATTTTTCTTGTAAAGAACAGAACTCAAAGTTTCAACAACATCTCCCAATAAATAAAGAGTAATTGTATCTTTATTTGTGAACAACTCGAATACTTTATTGAATAAATTACTAGAGTTATTGTGACTTTATACACAGATAACTCAATAAACCATAACCTTATTATAGTGGCTTCATACATAAATAACTTGAATATAATAAATAAACTTGTTTATACGACTATTCTTGCATCTCTATATACATTTAGTCATTTGCCTCTTTCATAATTGCAGCTCACACAATCCTTTTAAAAAGCATAATCACAATAAAACCTTATATTTACTTAAAGCAAAAATTGGTATTTGTTACTAATTCTCTAATATATATCTGTCATTAAAAGTAATCATTATACCAAACTTCTAAGAGTTAGTTTCAAGTATAACAGTACTACAAGCTATAAAAGTCAAAAACAATCTAACAAACTGAGTAGTGATAATAAATAAATCTGTTGTGCTAGTCAGATCTCTTTTAATATAAATATACAATAGGCTTAGTGTTCAGATCAAATCTAAGCCATAATAAATAGAATATTTATTAACATGATTATATTTAAAAACAACCAATTAGATTACACTTTTATATACACAAAAACTGTATAATGCAGATGATTTGTTATATAAATCTATTATTGATAATGCCTTATATTACATTAATAATTACAAGCCCTGAACATGACTCTAAAACCAAATTCTTTCACTACGATTTTTATATTTCAACCTTTGCCAATCACTGATTATCATTTGGGCTAGGTGCTGAGAAAAGGGACCAAATTGACAAAAAAAAAGATCTTCGGAAAATCAATTTTTATATTATAAACCTTATAATAAGCTATAAGAAAATATAAACTTTTAAGAGCTATTCTGTAAAATTTTATTAATATAACTACTTATGTGTCTTAAGTGAAAAATAATCCCAATCTTATTCTAAATTAATTTATACAAAAAAAATTACTTTAAAAAAAAATATCAATTTGGTTCTTTTTCCAGCACCTAGCCTATTTAATCTACTCAGCAAAAAAATTGCAAAAAAAACAAAAAGATATAAAAATTTGTTAAACACTTATTTACAAACCACTCAAGAATAATAAATATGGTCAAAATTGTTGTATACAATACTTAGTGATTAATACCCAGTTTTTTGTATCTATATGTAGTATCTACGAACATACTGTATTGTTACAAAATAATGCCTGAGGCGTTATTTCGAGTCAAAAATTTTAATAATTAATTTTGCTGAAGATTTTTTAAACTTTACTATTAAATAAATATTAAAGTTTAAAAAAAATCTTTGATAAAATTAATTATTAACTCATTTTAAAATTTTGTCTCGAAATAACACTATGAGTTGTTATTTTGCGATAATATAGTACAAATGAATGAATATATGTGTAGTACTAATAAAGTATATATAAAAAAGGAGGGTGTAGATTTTTCCTTTTATATAATTATAAGGAAGTTGTTTGATATTCATATGTTCAAAATCAAATGAGTATAACATAAGTACGACTAAAAATATCAATGTACTACAAACTATAAAAGCTATAAAAAGTAAAAACAAACTTACAAAATTGAGTAAGTAGTTGTTAATGATTTTCATTTATCTGTGCCTTCAGTATAGGATATCTAACCTATTAAATTACCAGAAGTTGACAAAGCAAACAAATATTAAAATGGGACCTCTATCACTTTCCTAACAACCATTTTCTCAACTAATCAAATTCTAACAAAAATTTGTCAGAACTAACACTAACCCCAAATTAATGCAGACGAACTTGTGATTTTGATATTGTCAAAAAAATGATAGGATTCTATTAAAATGTATTTTGCAAAAAGAAAAAATACCTATCATTGAAATTATAAAAACCAGAAGATTTTCTATTTACTACTGAAATAGTAAACACATTTTATTGTTGAAACAGGATTCTCATTATTGAATTAAAAACTTCATGTTGAAATCATGAAAATATACTCATTGAATTATGAAACTGTTACAATTATTACTTATATACTACTAAGTTGTAAAACTAATTATTGTTAAATGCAATTACGCTTATTGTTAAAAACATAGATTAATCTATTATTGAAATTATGAATCTATTTACTTACAGCTGAAATTACAAACCTAGCAATTGCTAAAATTATGAATCTACCACTCTTGAAATTTTGAATCTATTTATTTTTGTAATTGTAAAACCATCTATTATTAAAATATGAATTTATACATTAATAAAATTATAAATCTATTTTAGGAAAGGGCCAGAAAACATGTGTTTTTTTTGTAGGAGAGGGGTCTTTTCAAAAACACATCTATATATAGAAAAATCTAGAAGATAAGAAACCTAGGGGGGAGGAGGGTAATTTTGTCAAATAAAAAACAAATGTTTTCTGGCCCTCCCTTACTTACTACAAAATCATAAGTGCAATTTCTATTATTATATTAAAATTAGAAATCTAGTTAAAGTCCCAAATCAACTATTGTTTAAATTACTAATTATAGACCATGCACTATTAAAATTATGAATGCATCAATTGTTAAAATTTTTACCTGTCTACAATTAAAGATATAAGCCTATCACTGTTAAAATTGTGAACCTACTACTAAATTACTAATCCACCTACTATTGAAATTACAAACCTACTGCTAAAAAAGAATCTAGTTCATTTCACTAACAGTACTTTTCACTAATAAATCTTTTTTTATAAATTACACAAAACTTAACTCTAATTCTAAATCTGACCTCAACTACAATAGTCAAAACTACATTGTTAGTAAAATAAACTGTCAGAGAATTAATTGTCAGTGAAATAAACAGTATTAGTTAAAGAAAATTATGAATCTACATACTATTGAAACCACTAACTTACCTAATAATAAAATTACAAATCTATTTGTTATTGAATCATAAACCCACTTATCATTACAATTATAAACTCACCTACCCACCAAATACTGGATCAATGGAGGCTGGAGTGATGATCATTAAAGTGTGTTTTGTGATGTATAAATTGCACAAAATCCTGTCTCCATATTTTTACCTTTAAAATTATGCATATGATGCAAAGAATATTTATTTAACATCACAGCTTTATTTTCAAATTTTTATTGCCTATCTTTTATAATTATTACACTATAGAAATTGTTATTACTGAAATCTTATCCACTAATTAAATTTATTGTTATAATTAACATGGACTATAGGTGCAGGTATATTGATGTTAATGGATTATATTGTAGCTATTGTAAAGATATCACTAACCTGTGATTTAAATATTTCTGTACCTATAATACAGGTACAATCGATCGACTATTTGTTATCAGACCTTATCTACAAATCTTTATCTGCAAATTCAAATTTTGTCTCTCATATATAGAAGATCATTCAAGATTAACCACGAAAATCAAACCTGATTGACATGGCTATACAAACCATCTTAATTATCAATATGTATTATAATAAGGTTTCAAGCAACAACCGATTTTCAAAAATTATCAGCTTATTTGATGCAACGACTTATCTCAAAATCTTTATCATCAACTTTCATTTAAAACATTATTCGAGATAAACCAGACGAAAATTAGCCTAAGCAGTAATCTAAATCTACTAATAGTAATAGTAATAGATTAACACAATTGCTATCAACTGGTCAAAATTGCTTATTCGTCACCACACCTTATCTCAAGATCTTTATACCCTTCACTTTAGCCAATCAGAGTGCCTGCTGAAAGTTGTCCTTATATATATGATTCCCCAAAATTTTATACATCAAAATTTGTCCAAATAAAATTTTATATGCAACACTGTATTTATTACACACAGGCCTCCGTACCGTACTTAATATATGTATCCGCCTCTGTAATATAGTTCTCTAGTACGTACGTACATGCACAATAATAGTATCACAACTTCTAAATGCATCCCTACAAGGGCTAAACAACATGCATTAAAAAAAAATAATAAAAAAGAGTGTATTTATGGGATCTGTATAAAAAAAACCCCAAGTATTTAAATTTTATCAATAAAAATTATTTACAACATGAATCCTAATGATATATTCATATTTGCTTTAAGGCAGTTCCAAAGTGGTCCATATACGATAAAAATATATATCATTCTCTTAATCATTATATTAATATATTCAAATTTCTGGTTCCGACTATCGTTCGATTATTCCAATTATTCTGAAGACCCAAATTTGCAAAAAGAGTTTAGGCCAATTAATCGCACACTTGGTTTTGATCATATTTATGTTATTCATCTTGATTATCGAACGGATAGATTTGCAAGATTAAATGAAATATCTTCTTATCTTGGATTAGACTTTGACTATTTTCCTGCCGTTTCAAAATATGATGAACAATTTCTCCGCAGGTTTGGCACCGCAGATATGGACTTTTCCCAAAAAGCTTGTTTTTTAAGCCATTATTTAGTCTATAACCAAATAATTGATAAAGGCTATAATAGCACCTTAATTTTGGAGGATGATGTAGACTTTGAACTTAACATTACTGCTATCATGAATGATATTCATCATGACCTACCTTCTTCTTGGGAAACATTATTCGTTGGCACTTGCCAAGAACGAGAATTCCTTGTCGGTGAACGAGTAGGAAAAAGCTCTTCTCTCCATAAGCTGTATACGGCTTTGAGTACAATGTGCATGCATGCTTATGCCGTTTCGTATTCGGGTGTTCGCAAAATAGTAGAACTTCTTGACCCTGTGACTCCTTATGGTGCGATTGATCAGTGTTTCTTGAAAGAAATTAGTGAAGGGAGACTCTCTTCATATACTATTTACCCGCATCCCATCGTGCAATGGAAAGCTACTGACAATCCATCTGATATCCCTGGATCTTGGGAAACATTCCATAATTTATATAATTCAACTTTACGCTTTCTTGGGCATAACGGGACTAACGGTATTAGTAACTACAGCCAAACCGGACTAGAATTTTGACGGCTTGCTAAGTTTGTTTATGATTTTAGCAATAAATAAATAGTAATCTCAATTGTAATAAATAGTTGATAATCTTACAGTAACAGTTTGATTTTTATAGTAAGTAAATTTACAGTTTAGATAATAAATAAGTTTAAAATTTAGTAGTAGATATGTTTATAATTTTAATAGAAAGTTAGTTTATTATTATCCCTATGAAAAAATATATATGAAAATAATAAAGAAAATTACAAATAGTATACAGAATATAATATATATATACTGAATAATAAGTTTATATAATAAATTAATATTGAATTATTATATTGAATAAATATGGAATCATTTTTGATACAAAATAAATATTGAATTATTATACTGGATAGATACAGAATCATTTTTGATACAGAATAAATGCTAAATTGTTATACTGGATAGATACGGAATCATTTTTGATACAGAATAAATG